ACACAAGCCCCACACGCAAGCGCAGAGTGACACTACGATATTTTTGCCGAGCACAGCGGTGCATAGGTGGGAGGAAAGCGAGTTTTTCTGCCTTCTGCAACCGCTGCAGCGCCTCAGTATCGGCGAAGCCAATGACAGGCAGATATTAGACCGCGCTGCCCCCTCCGCTATGCGTTCCGCAACGAAGAAGTTGCTACTGCGCCTGCGCGCCGATAGCTTTCACTGTGGAGTTCCCGCTATCGTAGCGGGTTGCGGACGGCCTTGCGGGACGGCGAGAACGATCTACGAAAAAACCTTATTTTATCTGGGTAGCGGAGCAAGAGTTGTGGCGCCTTATGTTGTACCGCAGCGAAGGCTGGAAGCGCGAGCTCATAGCGTTGACAGCTGCCCTTAGTGCACGAGAGCTTGTGGCGCCGAGATCTGCCCCAGAGCAAGTAGCTCGTAGGGGGATCGGTGGCCGAGTGGTCTAGCGCACACCAGCTCGGAGCACGTGGAGCGAAAGCTCGCGCTGCAGAACCCAGGGATCCTGGGTTCGAGCCCCACCCCTGCCCGTTTCGATCTGGATGAGCATCGTACCGGCGTGCAGTCGTGTATCACTACTGCGTGATGCACGTTAAAGACCCCAGGCTAGCGGCTGTACCGCACTGGCTAAATTTCTCATCTACTGCTGGGAGACTCGTCGCCCCTGTGAGGCAGACCAAGTTCTAGGCTGTATAAACACACACGCAACCCAATTTTTTAAAGTAGCTCGCGCTTACAGCCTTTCCTGCGGTACAACATAAAGCGAAACAGTATAGCTTTCAGCTCACAAGACAGCTCACCGATGTGCAGCGCCCCCACGGAAAATGGGAGAAGCTCTCCTCTCACGCGCGCTCTTTTGTTTTCGGAAAGACATCGGCAGGCCGCCCCAACAGGGGGGATCGAGTGGCCGTGCCCCAACGAACATCATTCACCACGTGGAGATGCAATTTCTTTTTTTTCCCTACACGAGGACGGGAGCACGTGCTCGTGTGCTCGTGAGCACGTGAGCGCGTGAGCTCACGAGCAGGAACACCAGACGGCAGACGGACAAACGGACATGGCTAGCCCCTAAACGCCCATTCACATTGAGGAAACACGGCGGAAACATGAACAAAACATGTTTCTCAACAGTCGGGAAACATGTCGGCTGTCGGCTCTGTTTTCCGACAACCCTGTCACATTGAGGAAACAGCAACACAACATGGACGACAGCGACAATGTTGTCTCGATGTGACAGCTTTTGGCAACGGAAACCTCGACAACTTGTGTCGGACGACATGTGTTGCCCATTCCGGTGGCTGAGCGAATTTTTTCCAGCAACACGGCAACATCTATATTTTTCTGTACAGATAGTCGCACGAGAATACTTCAATAATTGACAACTAGCCCTTTCACACTGCGGAAACAGTCGTAGAACGCTGTCCTTCAACACGAGGAAAACACGTTTTCGGGGACCCTGTCACATTGCGGAAAAGGCAACAGTCCGGAAACATGTTGCTGTCGCTCGAAAACCATGTTTCCCAACTTGTTCTCCGACATGTGGGGAACATCCTGTTACACCGGGAAAGCGTGTTGGAAGAACACAAATTGCCTCCTCTCCTGCGCGCTGCCTCCCTCTCTCTCTCTCGCCCTCGTCTGCCCGGCCGGCTCGGCTAAGCTACAAGCGCGAGCTCCGGGCTTTCAGCATCCCTGCCAAGCGCGCACGCTCGTGCAGTGCAAGCACTGTTCTGGGCCAGATGCTCGCGCTTGTAGCATCGGCTGCGTCTGGACCGAAGCTGAAACGAAGTGTAGGCGGCTAGGCTCAGATCCGCTGGCTCCGCTCGCCCCTTGAATCGTTGCCATTTTGGATCGCCGTCTCATCGCCGTCGCTCTACCGTATCGATTCATCAGCCTCGCGAACCATTTCGTGTTTTCTGGATTTGGCGGTTGCGTTCTGCTACAGGGCTAAACCCTTGCAGGATGGCATACGCGCCGGCCACAGCAGCAGCTTTTGCTTTGGTGCTTCTTTGTGCCATCGATTCAGATGATTCTGACGATCAGCTGCCGCCGCGCAAGAAGCCGCGTTCAAAATGAACCAGCGAGTGGCTCGCAAGCGTGCAACAACAAGGTGCCTATTAGAATTTGATGCGGAAGCTGGCTCTGGAAGATTCCGAGGCCTACCGGCGTTGGATTCGGACGGACACGGGCTGCTTTGAGGATCTCCTAGCAAGGGTGAAATCGCGCATCGAAAAAAGGAACACAAATTTCCGGCTACGTGTCCCGGCTGGAGAGCGACTGGCCATCACGTTGCGGTACCTTGTTACGGGTAAGTGTCAGCCCTGCATTTGTGTGCACGTTTCTGCATCATTATGAGATAAGTGTACGTCTTCATAACCTAGCTGAGCGACGCCTTGCAACTTTACAGGGAAAAATCCCCCATTGAAAATCTTTGTTACACGCAGGCACCAATTTTTCCTGTTGGTTTGAGGTAAACGACCCATTCTTGCCACTCATACGTCAGAACAAATTCTCTATCTCACCATCTCTGTGGCGTAAATGTTCGGTTTCGGCCTTAGGAGCGCAAAGGGTGGGATCAAAGTTCAAACCCTGGGCACTCCCTTCCCCAACGAGTCATTGGGGCATCGCACATAGCCTGTGTTGCTTTTTCACGTAAAACCCCAATATTTCCCTTTTTTTCTCCAATTCTACCTTGCTATCTTGCAGTTATTCACTGATTACAAAAACGAGGGAACACATATTTAGCCAAGCTGTACTGGTCCCTTCACTGTGTCTTCAACTGTTTTCAGGGGACAGCCAGATGTCACTCCAGTTTCATTTCCGGAGAGGACACAACAGCATTTCCACCATCGTGCACGAGGTCTGCCTAGCCATCTACAGTGCTCTGAAGGATGACTTCCTGGAGGTAATAACGATACGACATAATCAAACTTCCAAGTAATAAGAGTGGAATCCACACACTGGTTACAGCATGCAAACAAACGCGGATGGAGGGAAGAACTGAACAGGACAAGCGCTGGACTTCAACTGAACGATTAATGAAGGAAAACCAACAAGAAAAAATGCCAAATCACCAGACCGTCACTAATCAACACGTGCTCAAAAAAGCTATTTCTTTTTCATGTAAATATATCGAGATTTGACTGATGCATTGGGAACCTGCCTTTCCAATCTCATAGGCTTCCAGCAGTTCGCGTGCAATCCTATTGGCTGTCCTCCCCAAAACCGTGATGCTTTGAGATTTAGGCACACACAAGCAGGTGACGCAGTGAACAGGAAGGTGGCCTCCCGAGGTTGAGCGCAGCAAAAGTGCGTGCTCATCTGCCCGTTCATTGACACATCGGCCAATATGGCCGATGTATGCACGACCGCAGCTTAATGGGATACGATAAATACCCCCAACTGGCGCACTCGACGTACCTGTCCAGTTCTTTCCTCCGTCCGCGTTTCTTGGTGCTCTGTATCTAGTTTGTAATGATGAACCAACTTGCATCGCCACATTGGAACTCACAGTGAAAAAAACATAACCAGGTCTCTTCATCTCCGTCCCAGTGTGTTCCAGGCTTTCATTTACTAGAGATCTGGGATAATAATTCTCAAATTCGGGAACAGACCTTAGTTTTTTGTTTGTTTTTTCAAATTTCTTGTTATGCTGCGAGATTGAAAATGGCATTCGAGAATTTTGTTGGTGTCTGGCCCAATTTGATGCTGAGTGACGATCACAAATTAATCTAAATAGGAACAAACTCTTAGCCAAAGACAAGTCTCGTGGGGATAGTGTGATTGCCTGTATACAAACATACATACCCTGTGCCCAGTGGCTGCGAACTTGAGCACCTCTGCTCCGACCTGAAGCCACCAGCAGTACCGACATATAGAGAGTATTTATAAAGGTGTCGCGAACCTCGTGGGTTTCAAGTTTCTGTTTTGAAAATCCTTGCTCAGGCTCGAACTCCCAAAGTTGCAACTTCGGGATTAAAACGAAGATCTAGTTTTCTACTTTTGAGTTTGGTTCTAGTTTTGGAAATCTCAATTTTCAAATCTATGGTCCCGCGCAAAGTTCAAAAAGTTCTAATACTGCAGAGATCGAAGCTCTAAAGTTTTCAGAACATAAGACGATACATTTATTTTCCAATTTCCAGTTTAATAGTGGTTTCATTGATCTTACTATAAATGACCTAAATTACAGCTAGTTTTAAAATAAAAGTAGCATTCACTGCATAACTTTATACACTAATGACTATCATTGGAAGAAAAAAAAACTGTACAGGATTGGTTGTTGCACTTGATATCATAACTCGAAGAGCCAGAAAACCAGAGGAAAGCATAGTGTATACCATATGTATACAATAAATGTAGTAGCAAAACAACCTCTCCGGCATATGAGTGTGGTGCAGCAAGGTTGCGGTCATGTAGAGAAGCATTACGCCTAGCAACTGTCATACTGCACCGCACAAGGAACTTGGGTAGGGCTGTAAATTCGAGTGCAAAAATCTTGCATATTTCAGCCTCAGGCCGGTCGGAGGCCGTAGAGAGAAGAGTGTGGCACAGGCGTTAGTGCACCTCAGAATCAAGCTCCTGGTTGCTTATTCGGGGATGGAATCTTGCTTGCTTGGCATCAGTCTGCGTTCTAGAATGTATTGTTTTCATATTGAGGAAATGCGAGCACTCCAGGAGTTGCGAGATCCAGCTAGCGGAAAAGCGCTATGACAAAGTCATACTGATGCTGGTGCCAGATACCATAATGTTTGCACGGATAGTGCTTGCAATTAGAGAATTGTGAGTGGCAAGAGTGCGTTCGTATTGGTTCTTGGCTGCAGCCGACTGCAATTCAGTGCTACAGTGGGCATAGGCCCCACAGCATGGTGCACCCACACCTGGCACCTAATGCATTACACTCGAATGGAAATTTGTGAATGGGCTTTTATGTGGCAGCTGGTGTGGAACACACCTGTGTTAAATCTGGAAACAACTTATTGCAGGTACCCAGCACTCGTACTGAATGGAAACAGATCGCAGAGAAGTACGAAGATCTCTGGCAGTTCCCTGACTGCGTTGGGGCGTTAGATGGGAAACATGTTGCCCCGATGCCACCTCACGACTCCGGAGCTCAGTTCCGGAACTACAAGGGCTTTTTTAGCATTGTGTTGATGGCACTGGTGGATGCGGACCTGAACTTCGTCTTTGTGGATGTGGGCCGCAATGGCCGAATGAACGACAGTGGCATCTGGGGTGCCTGCAAGCTCAAAGAGGCACTGGAGAAGGAGCCAACCATCCTTCCTGATGCTCAAGTGCTTCCACGATCAACACAAGCAGCACCCTATGTGATTGTGGGGGATGAAGGTTTTGGCCTGAAGCCTTACCTAATGAGGCCACACCCTGCTGCAGAGCTCACTACAGAGAAGCGGTTGTTCAACTACAGGTAGGGGGTCCATGCAGTACATAGTGTATTTGTCACTTCGAATTGTATTTTTTTTTTAATATCCCGCCTGGTTATTCCCAGGCTTACTGCAAATGCAGTTTGTTGTGCACGCTATTGGGAGAACACATACCATTCGGAGTTTTCAAACAGGACAAACGTACGAGGTGTACAAATCTAGTTTAAAACTTTTAGTATGGATATTTAGGTCAGCATAGGATGGTAGAGAAGTGTACAGAAATATGTGAATATGCATGTTATGTTGTGGCAGCAAGAAGAACAGTCCTTGGAGATTATGCCAAAGCTTGAAGCCATATACATTAACTTGACTCACGCATTTCACATCATTTTTAATTAAAGCTTATTGCGGTACTGCTTTTCCTATAGCTGACAAATAAGACCAAGATTCACATATAAGGCAACATCAGTGACCAATTTCGTAGATATAGAAAAGCATACCAGCATACTCCACTGTATTTGATAATATCTTGTTATCATTGCAATTTATTTCAGGCTGTCACGTGCTCGACGCACATCGGAGAACGCATTTGGCGTGTTCGCCAATCGATGGCAGATATATAGGTCTCCCTTGCGTCATGATCCCGAGCGAGCCACCGACATTGTGCTGGCCACTGTGGCACTCCACAACTTTCTCCGGTCGAAAAGGACGACGCGACAGCTCTACACTCCTTCAGAGAGCTTGGATGTCGAGGACATCCTGACCGGTGAGCATGTAGTGTACCACCCTTGCATCATGTAAATGGCCCTTACTTTGAAAATCTGCTTAAGCTTTAACTATGGCTAGAGCTACAGTAGTTCACGTTTAAAGAGCCTAATAGTTTCCTCTGTAAAGTTACAGGCGAAAGCAATGCAAATATATCCTGACTGTTTTTAATGCCATTTTCATTTCGAAAGTTCCAAAGCAAAAGCACTTACTCACTTAGGTTTTTAGGAGCAGAACTCATGCACAGTCTGCAGTTATCTAGTCTAGGGTGTATCATGACATGGTCCAATGGTCAGACATCTTACATGTTGGTACCTACGTACTGGCCGAGAAATCCAGCGGCACACTATATTGTCACACATGATGACAAAAGAAACAATACATAAACATAATTAAATAAACGTTAAATGGGGGCGAACTGTGTCCAAGAGCAAATAACTAAGCCGGAAGACAGAAGAAAATAATAGAGCGCCGCGGGAGTCAATGTCGGCGTGATAGCAGAGTCGAGCTCTGGCAAAGAACTGACTACCACATCAACGTGCCGCAGCCCCCATAGGGTAGTTATGTTCGCGATAGCATAGGAGGGCCGTCGCTTATGATGAGAACGCAATAGTGACCTGCTAAATTTGATCTATCACCAACATGAAATGTAGTGAAAGAAACTGAGACTAAACATGCCATGTCTTTCAATTAGCTACTCCTTGTTTACCAATGTGAAGCTGGTTTCGCTATAGTCAATCATTCTTGGCCTGACCACGGGACGGATTCTTAGTACAAACTTTGCAGCTTTAATTTCCCCAAGAACTCTTTCTAATCTCTCTACGAAACTTATAGCAGGTGAATGACGGCCCAGACAAGGTCCGGTATGCTCCCGATGAGGTAAAAGCACAGAGTAGAGAACAATCGTCTGGTTACTGGCAGCTTCCATTTTGGCGACCTGCTAAAATAATTGTTAGATGCTTCCGCTGCCTGAGCAGAAAAGTGCGAGTCACACTGGTAATTGTGAGAAATCAGTTACTAGTGAGGGTCGATAAAGGTTGGTAGTAATAAAGAGGGACCAGGCTCATGAACGCATTGAATTGAAATGTGCGTGCTTCAACAATATTTTTGATGAACTACAGGGAATGTGCGCAGTGGCTCATGGAGACAGGGTGTGAGCCCAGCTGGAGCAATGCGGCAGTTCCGGAGAGGTGGGAGAAACTGCAGTGACTATGCCAAGGCAGTGCGGAACCTCTACACAAACTACTTCGTCAACGAGGGACAAGTGAGGTGGCAGTGGCAAATGATCACTTAAACAGGTACTACACGGAATCAATGTGCTGTGTCTGGAAGTAACTGCATTTATTATACCAGCTCGTAAGTATCACTTGGATTATATATATGGTTGTACTAAAAGCAGGAAACTTTACACGGACAATTAACAGCTGAAGACAATATCTTAAAAATTGTTCACAAGACTTGCTAACGATAAAAACCTTTGTTGGCTGTGCTCTGGGTGTTGTTTCTTGCTGTAATTTTCCTGTGCTAGCCTGTGTCAATCTCTTTCTGCCCCTGGTTTCTAAACAATACACCAGCTCACCTGTTCTGCCATTTGATATTGGACTTCTTGCTCCACCCGGCACCACTCATTATTGGTTTGTCGGAGTTGTCAGTAAGCCCCATGCTTGATTGACGTTATGTGGGCACTCGGTGCCTAGAGTGTATCACTAAAGTATGGCGGAATCAAATATTTGGTATAGCAGCTCGAAGTGCATGACACACTTTATAGAAGTAATTTGACAGTCTTTTTTTAATAAGTTACTTCCACATGGTGAACTAAACCCTGAGACACTGCGGAAAAAACAAGTATTACTAAGGAGAGGAAGAACAGAAGTCTGTTGCGACTTTTCTCCCACTCTTTCGTCGCCCTTCTTTTTCCCGAGCCTCGGGGTTCAGTTCACCATGTTCAATCATCACCAGCTCGTTTGCGGCCTAACATTCTGGTTATACTTTCATTTTATTTATTATCCAATACTGTTATCCTGTGGGTCATTACAGGAAAAGTTGGAACAAAAATAAATTATTTGAATACAATACTGCATATAAGCACACACAAAAAAGGAAATGTAAAAGCATTAAAGTGAACTATGATAAACACTAAGAGTAGCAGTATCACCTCTTGGAACAGTAGATGAAACTTTAAAACAAAATAACATTCAGGTAGGCATTCAACAATTTCACTGTTACATATGGTTTGATTTGCTGCAATGATTGTAATACACAAATACAACTTCAAACTTGAGCTGCAAACATGTGATCAAGAAATCTACGTCCGTTCCCAATGATCAAGAAAGGAAAACTGAAAATATAAAGTGAGCGATGTTTGAATAGAGGAGAAATAACTGCTGGCCAGGGTCTTCATTGATCAGGTGCTGCCTGTACAATTTTGACCTGATCGTTTAGATTAAGAGAGCACTTCACAACTGCCTGATATGCCAACATGCTGGCCAGTGGCCTCTGTGGGCCTTCTGGCACTCGCCGGAGTGCGTGTGCAATTGTAACGCCAAAATCATCGCATTCATCTCTCGACTTAGTCGCCTTATCTGATTTTTTAAGAGCGTGCACAGCAGTCTTTAAAAGCTGCCGCTTCTGGTCAGCACAGTTTTTTTCTTGTCTCCATTTTCCAGGCCTTTTGGATTGCGCAGTGCTGCTCTCACCACTACTGGAGCTCGCACCGTCGTTGTGCATTCCACGAGGACTATGAGTCACACCACTGTTGGCCCCTTGACTCAGGCTGCAGGCCTCATCTTCCAACCCAAAGCTTGTGGGGTCCACTACGTCACTGCCGTCCAAGTGTCCCCAAGGACTATCACCAGCTCCTGTATCTGGTTCAGCCTGTGATTCAGCTTGTGATTGAGTCTGCGGCTGTGAAATGGAAACAAGCGTTATGTGCATGACGAAATCATTTTTATTTCATTTGCAGGACATGTTTTTGCTGTTTGTCAATCCTGTTAATCTTGTTCTCTTGGGTAGAGCACTTTTTGTTGTTCAAGGATTTATGATAGCGAGAAACCACATTGTGAGAGAGAGAATTCAACCAATAAATTATGTTTCGGCTTGGATTGAAGAAATTGGCCCCAATGTCATGTTTGATTTTTGACATCCACCGATTAACACTAACAACAGGGAGTATCGGGTACTGTTAACATTGGGATTGTTTACGTTACATGCTTGTGAAGATAATTATGGAGCCTCGAAATTATATGCTGTGTGGCACAGTCGGCATGAATGTGACGTCGAAAGTTCATCGCATTCTACTGATTCAGATGAGATGCATGTGAAGAAAGTGGTACCATATTTGCAAATAAATGTGCACCTGTAGTCGCTACTCTTGTTTGTCACTTACATCGGAGCCAGACATATTCGATTGGCTTTCGTGTCGGGGGCATGAACTCAACAAGAACAGCAGTTCCCTGTAGTGCCCCCATCGGGGTACGTAAACGTCATCGGGGCTTGTCCCCGATTTGTTGCTTGCCTTAACCTTTCGGTTTTCTCGTTGGAACTGTGACCGTAGATTGGAAAACTTGGATTTGACATCTGCCGCTGCATGAAACAAAAATCATTGTGTTACGTAGGGGCATGATCGTAAAATAAGTCATTTAAGGGTGCCATATATGGCTCAAACTGACTATGTGCCCCTCCCTTTAGATCAGATTAGAGTGTGGAATATCAATGCTCGCTCATTTCAGGTGTGAGAGTGATTGGAGAAGCAAAGCAAGGTAGGTATACCGTATAGTCCACAAAATTACTTCGAAAAAAGGCAACAATAGACCTTTTACGAAATTACCCAACCATCAAGGAGCAGAAGAGAACGCAGTTATGCACACTCCGTGCGCTGGCCTTTTCTAAAATAGTCGGAGTAAATTGCGACAAAAGGCTTCGACGAATGCGCGTGCGAAATGCCGTTCGATTTATATGGTTGCTTCCAAAAAATCACTGCTGCGGACATCGGCACTTGCAGCGCGTGTAACTACACTCGCTTTTTGTGGCATTGATAATTATGTGAAAGCTCTATTAAGCACACATACTTTCGTGTCACCTTCACTTGAACTAAGTGCAAAGGCCAAGAGCGAGCTCTTGCTGCTTGATCGTGGTTCCCTTGCACGAGCGCATATGCGACGGAAGTGTCAATGTTACTCGCTTGCGGAATACGTCGCAACGGAATATAAAACCAAATACTTTACTGGGGGGAATACATTCCACTCCTCTCAAATACAATAGCCTCGGCGCGGACAGGTTTTCTGGCTTGGCGATTGCCATCTATCGTCACGGAGGGCTCGGCTACCGGGCGGTAAATGATGATAATGATGATGGGGCCAGCGGCGCGCGCCGTCGCCCGGTGCGCGCGGCGCTGGCTGTTCGATTGTGTGCCTTTTTATCTATCTTATTTCATTTATACATATATAAGCGTATAAATAAAGAACACAACGAACACCTTATGTGCGAGCGAAGGCAAAGCTGGAAGCACGAGCACGAAAGCTCCGTGCGTTCATGCTTTGCTCGAGCGCGCGAGCTGGGGAAAAACGCAAAAAGCGCTGGTCTCGCGCTTTTAGCTTTGGCTTCGCTCGCAGATAAGGTGAAACGAAGTATAGCTCTGTGCTTCGCCAAATACTTTGCTGCGCTGTGCCGCCATAACCTTCCCAATCGACGCACCTTGCGGAGACGACACACTCTAAGAAAAAATGGAGGAAAAAAGTAGCAACGGCGCGTCTTCTTCCCTTCTACTGACGCGCCCCCAAGCAGACACAAGAAAAAGGGAGGAACGAAACGCTTTTCTCCTTCTCCAGGCAGACGGGAGAAAGCTTTCGCCCTCCCGACCCATCTTCTTTCGGTTTCGTTTTTCGAGCAGGCCGCGCACGTAGTTTAATAAATAACTGTTGAGTTGATTGAGCTTCAGCGGCAGCGAAGGCCACCTGTAAATCCGTCTTCTAGTCTAAACGTGCAGAACGTTTCGGTTGCATTGACGTTTTTATCACCAATTTTATCAAGCGAGCAAACGAAGCCGCTAGAAACAGCGAAGTTCCGGAGCAGTGTTAGTAGCGCCACATACACTGGGAGATGGCTGCCTCCGGATTGCGGGACTCGCGCGGCACGGAACTACAGTAGCGAAACCACGCGGAACTGTGTCGACGTTTTCGACGTTATGAAAACCGCAGGAACTGCGTCCAAGACAGGCAGGTTTTGCTGCGGCTGCTTGGGGGCCTTCCGTGCTGAGTTCGATTCTGTTTTCCTATGCCGAGTGCAACCGGCTTTCAACGTGGTTCTGTATTTGTGCGTGTCAACAACTTAGCTGCAACATCGTGATGGCAGTGTTGTGGGTTGTGAACAGAAGACTGGAATTATCGCCGATGCGACTGTGTGTTCGCGTATCAGTGGTGTAACAAGAAGATGAGATCGTAAACTGTCGGGCATTGATGCCGCTGGTCGGGCCGTGATCGGAGGGGGCGGGATGTCGCGGGTTGACATTCCGCTTTACATTAAAAAAGTTTAATACCACTTGAGAGATTACGTGCAATCGATCGACGTGCGGATAGTCATGTTGGAACGCTGGTCTGAACAGTACAAGCTCCTATCGTACAGTGGCCAATGTGACTGTCGGAATTGTCTCGTCCCCGAGAGTGATTGCACTCTGGGACAAGGACAATAGTACGAAATCGTGACGGAAAGTACGTATATTTACAGTGTGGAATTTTAGCAATTAAAAACAATAGGTAGATCGAAGGAAAAACAAAAAAATACTACCCTTTATTTTGCTGCTTAAATATACTACGGTTCCTGGAAAAACTGCCCTCCAAGTGGCGCGCTGGGATGAGCGCTAGGAGTTTTCGGGCTCGCCACGGCGTAGCTCCGTACACTTAACACCTGCCGCAAGTCGCGGCTTTGACTGCATTCAAATTGATCGAAAAGCGATTTCTCAGCCCGTGAAGCATCACTTCCAGCTGAGTGAATATCCGCTCTAAAGAGATTAATTCAAGACGGCAATTTCAGCTTTGCGCAAACAGCACAAATAGAAAAACAGAATAGAAATACAGGCTACGACGTGCCGTGCGGGGAAAGAAACTCATGGCTTCGAACCGCATCAGAGCGGCTTGATTTATTGGCTTTCAAATAATTACGGCATGGTCGAGCGTTTGCTTTTTAATAAGAGGTTCATCCCGTGAGCCATTCAAAATACTCACCGAAAAATTCCGTCCGTTGAAATCGACCAGTATAAAAGACGGAAACGCAGAGCACGGGTGTAGTGTTCGGGTTAGC